CAAGAAATGCTTACATAGAATTCATATTTAATATTACATGAATTATTTATAACTTAATAAAGTTAAATTTAATTTAAACAAATAACAACTAAATGCATTTCTAATTACTATTATCAATTATTTATAATATAAATACATCCCAACTAGGTTGCCACCTACTTTTTTTCAAATTAAAAAAAAAAAACAAAAATTCACGGCCAGCGGGTTAACCGCGGCCCGGGAAGGTGCAACCCGCGAAGCCCGCGGGTTATACCTCTTTGACCCGTGAACCGCCCGCTCGAGTCCCGGGTCGATCCACGGTCCCAGGTCGACCCGGGCCGATTTTCACGGGTCTGGTCGACTCGTCCGTCTTGACACCTGTTTATATTTTGTAATCTATATCTGCCATATCTGGTGTCACTGGCCCGAATCAACCCATCCGCCTTGACACCTATTTATATTTTGTAATCTATATCTGCCATATCTGGTGTCTGAATGCATGCATGCATGCACAAGCATGTGCACATACATTTTTTTATTCTGAGGGAAACTTTAACCATGCCTTTTCTTTTGAAAAAATTCTTATTGCAGTCATTTGTTGATAAATTTCGCTACAATGCCAATCTTGCATCTCTTGTTCAGTCAAGAATTAAGGTACATTTCTTTGCTATGTTTCTGGCTGCTCAAAACTTTCTTAATTCATATGTTTAGGTTCCATATTGTGAGCAATCAAATTGAGTGATCTCACTTTTGAAAAATGACTTAGTGAGTAGTTCCATTTACAACTTTCAATCAATTGTATCATGATGCTTTGCTACTGAAGTTGTGGGCATAAATACTGTTGTGGTTTCTTGTATTAAAAGATAATTATATTCTCACTCTTTCTCATATTTATCAGGCACTGGACCAATTGGGTCATGTGGATGAAGTTGTAAATGATTATGAGTATGCATATTTTCTGACAATATTGATGCCTATATTTATATTTGTGTAGTTTGTAGTTTATTGATTGATTTCAACTAATTGTTAACATCTAGAAAATAGTGATTTTTATGCCTTGCTCATCAATTCTGATGTGTATTTCATTTTGGGGTGGACAGCTACAAATTTGAATTCCCATCTCCTGATGATTGACCAGGACCATCAATTATAAGCTTCAGGTTTGACATCTGATTCTTAATAACACTTCAGTGTTATGTGCCTTGGGCTTTTACAATTTAAAAGCAACTCTCTTTCTGGTTCTCTGTTTGCTTGTGGTTAATCGTCTTTCAATCTGCTTCTTAAGTTATTGTTGAACTACTTTGTTTATCTTTTCTTTTTGAAGACAATTACTTGCCGTCGTTAATCTATGTAATAACTGCAGAGATGCATCCTTTGCATATCCTGGAGGCCAGACTCTATTTAAGAATTTGAATTTTGGAATAGATCTTGATAGCCGAATAGCAAGACTTTTCTGAACCTGTTAAGTGCTCTACCTTTCTGAATAATTCTGTTCAACTTTAGTCTTTAGGATATGTCTACCTATTAGT